TACCCAAAGCATTCTACAGATTTAGTGCAATCCCTATCAAACTACCAATGGCATTTCTCACAGAACTAGATCAAAAAATTTCACAATTTTTATGGAAACACAAAAGACTCTGAGGACTTCCCTGGTGGCACAGTGGTTGAGAATCTGCATGCTAATGCAGGGGACACAGGTTCGAGCCCTGGTCTGGGAGGATCCCACATGCCACAGAGCAACTAGGCCCGTGAGCTACAACTACTGAGCCTGCGCGTCTGGAGCCTGTGCTCCGCAACAAGAAAGGCCGCAATAGTGAGAGGCCCATGCACTGTGATGAAGAGTGGCCCCCTCTTGCCACAACTAGAGAAAGCCCTTGCACAGAAATGAAGACCCAACACAGCATAAATAAATATATATATTCCTACTCCCTACATCTTCTTAAAAAAAAAAAAAAAAAAGACCCTGAATAGCCAAAGCAATCTTGAGAAAGAAAAACAAAGCTGGAGGAACAGGCTCATGGACTTAAGACTATACTGCAAAGCTACAGTAATCAAGACAGTATGGTATTGGCACAAAAACAGAAATATAGATCAATGGAACAGGATAGAAAGCCCAGAGATAAACCCACACACATATGGTCACCTTATCTTTGATAAAGGAAACAAGAATATACAATGGAGAGAAGACAGCCTCTTCAATAAGTGGTGCTGGGAAAACTGGACAGCTACATGTGAAAGAATGAAATTAGAACATTCCCTAACACCATACACAAAAATAAACTCAAAATGGATTAAAGACCTAAATGTAAGGCCAGACACTACAAAACTCATAGAGGAAAACATGGGCAGAACACTCTATGACATAAATCACAGCAGGAACCTTTTTGACCCACCTCGTAGAGAAATGGAAATAAAAACAAAAATAAACAAATGGGACCTAATGAAACTTAAAAGCTTTTGCACAGCAAAGGAAACCTTAAACAAGATGAAAAGACAGCCCTCAGAATGGGAGAAAATATTTGCCAATGAAGCAACTGACAAAGGATTAATCTCCAAAATTTACAAGCAGCCCATGTAGCTCAATATCAGAAAAACAAACAACCCAATCCAAAAATGGGCAGAAGACCTAAATAGACATTTCTCCAAAGAAGATATACAGCTTGCCATCAAACACATGAAAGGATGCTCAGCATCACTAATCATTAGAGAAATGCAAATCAAAAGTGCAGTGAGGTATCATCTCACACTTGTCAGAATGGCCATCATGAAAAAAATCTACAAACAATAAATGCTGTAGAGAGTGGGGAGAAAAGGGAACCCTCTTGCACTGTTGGTGAGAATGTAAATTGATACAGCCACTAGGGCAAACAGTATGAAGGTTCCTTAAAAAACTAAAAATAGAACTACCGTAGGACCCAGCACTCCCACTACTTGGCATATACCCTGAGAAAACCATAATTCAAAGAGTCATGTACCACAATATTCATTGCAGCACTATTTACAATCGCCAGGATATGGAAGCAACCTAAGTGTCTATCGACAGGTGAATGGATAAAGAAATTGAGCACATATATACAATGGAATAATACTCAGCCATAAAAAGAAACGAAATTGAGTTATTTGTAGTGAGGTGGATGGACCTAGAGTCTGTCCTACAGAGTGAAGTAAGTCAGAAAGAGAAAAACAAATACCGTATGCTAACACATAAATATGGAATCTAAAAAAAAAAAAAAAGGTTCTGAAGAACTAGGGGCAGGACAAGAATAAAGACACAGTTGTAGAGAATGGACTTGAGGGCACAGAGAGGGGGAAGGGTAAGCTGGGACGAAGTGAGAAAGTAGCATTGACATATATACACTACCAAATGTAAAATAGATAGCTGGTGGGAAGCAGCCACATAGCACAGGGAATTCAGCTCGGTACTTTGTGACCACCTAGAGGGGTGGGATAGGGAGGGTGGGAAGGAGATGCAAGAGGGAGGAGATATGGGGATATATGTATACATGTAACTGATTCATTTGTTATACAGCAGAAACTAACACAACATTGTAAAGCAATTATACTCCAATAAAGATGTTTCAAAAAATATTAATGTAACTGGTGAATGACTGCTTGAAGCAGTCAAAATGTTTGAACCTATACATAGATTACGATGAATGTGACAACTATAAATACAGATTGGTACCACAAATTTAAAAAAAGTTTAATAAAACATTATATTCTAATTAACTAAACAATAATACCCTCAAGTAGGGGAATGAGGGACACAGACATTTTGTGTTTCTGCTTTCAACAAGAGCCAAAGGAAACTGCCCATACAATTTCTTAATGACCCAAGGGAAAACAGCTAAAACCACAGTGGAAATAGAAAATGCCTTTAGTAATTTCTATTATAAACTTTTCACCTCATGGAGAAACTGGACAAAGCAAATCTGATAGCTGTATGGCCACGTTTAATTCCTTGTTGTATGTTTGTCTTTTACCTCCTCTGTCCTAGTTTCTTAAACAGAAGTTGAGTGAAGTTCATGTAGCATGGTTTATTTTAATAGCCCTTTAGTTCTAGATGAGATGTGTTACAGTAGTGGACAAGAATAGCTTGTTGGATGAGAGGGTTATCTACTATGTATACGGAAAAGGAAAAGGCCACATTTAGGTTTTGGCTTTTGTCACTAGTTCTTCAAGCACAATTTTAACATTAAGCCATTATAATCTAATTAATCAATATGATCTCATATAAAGTAGATCTGAAATATTATACATAATGTGTCTATCATTGAACAACTACTTATGAATTCTTTTTGTCCCTGGACTAATATGCTTATTGTTGATATCCCATGACTCAAGATTTTATGATCCATTTATTGTTTATACTGTATTTTTTCCCCAGTTACCAAATGCACATTCTTGAATTACTGCTCTCATAGTTCACCTTTTCTAAATGTCCTTTCATACCTTTTCCAGGTAGCCACATCCTGGACATCCCTCAACATCTAGTTCACCGCTTTGTTATATTGTAAATTCTTGCTTAATATGCAGCTTGTGGTGGTGTCTCCTTTCTCTGTACTCATATAGAACCTATCATTGTATTGAGCCTTATGTTTCTAGTTATTTTTTTGTTTGTTTTGTTTGTTTGTTTTTTGTGGTAAGTGGGCCTCTCACTGTTGTGGCCTCTCCTGTTGAGGAGCACAGGCTCCGGACGCGCAGGCCCAGTGGCCGTGGCTCACGGGCCCAGCCACTTCGTGGCATGTGGGATCTTCCCGGACTGGGGCACGAACCCGTGTCCCCTGCATCGGCAGGCAGACTCTCAACCACTGCGCTACCAAGGAAGCTCTCTAGTTATTTTTTGTGTTTATGTCTTATCTTTCCAACTAGATGCTGCAAGATTCTAAGAGGCAGGAATTGTTTGTTATATATCTTTGTATCTTTGCCACTTTGTCAAACAGGGTGCAGGTTTTTGGTTGCTTGTAATTTTTCAGAACTCTTGGTTGCAAGTTAAAGAAACTGAACACTAATTCAAGTAATGAAGAAGGTCCAGGGATGGGTCTGGCTACATATTTAGTCATGCTGGATCAGGTATCCAAATTTTTCATCAAGAATTTGTCCTCCTGCTTTCCTTTGTCTTGGCTTTGCTCTCAGGTGAGAGCTCCCTAAAGTATGCCTTCTGGTAGTAGAGGAAGAGCTTCCTTCTCTCAGTAGATTCAGGGAAAGCTTTGGGGCTGATGATTATTGGTTTTGGGTCATGTGCTCGGCCTGAGTTACATGGTTATGTCTTGAGACGGGGGGTGGGATCAGTTGCCCTCTCTCTTTCATGACATTTGCAGTGAAATTGGAGAATGGGTAGTTCCTTAAAGGAAAAGGTGGGCTTTGGTGCTGGCAGATGGGAAATGGATGCTGACAGGCAAAAACAAGATGCCCATTGGGAATTTCAGTAAATGTTTCCTGGTTGATCATGTAGACTTCTAGGAAAGAAGTCAGATTTGTAGAGATTCCATTTTTTCACCTTCATCCAAAATACTTGTTAGAATAGTGCCGTGTATTCTCTGAGCCCTTCCTAGTCACTGTTGGAGGTGGATGTAAATGTGATATGATGTATGGCTTTGGCTCCCCATTGATTTATCACCAGAGCTGAAAACTCTCTCAAGGATGGATTAATAACTATGCTTAGGTGCTTGAACCTTTGAATAGGCCCTCAAAGTTCTTTTGTGGAAGAGTGAACAGAACAGTAATGAAATCTCTCAGTGTGGATTGTGATGATGATAGCCCAGTGAGTTATGATAAAACTAAGTAGCATTATCAACAAATTAAACTGTGACTCTGTTTTGGATTCTCTCTCTGAGAGCTATGTTGTTTATAAACAACTTCAAAAGTTGTTTATAAAACATATAAATAGTAAGCTTTGAGGTTGCCATTATTTCAAAATAGTGGTCAGGACATGTACACTAAGTTGGCTGACGGGGTATTTGACTGCCTTTTTTTTGTACATTGAGAAGTTAAGATCAGAGATATTTTAAGTACAAAAACTTAAGTCATATATTGGTCAACTTGCCTGAAACCCAGCCAGTGAAGATCTTAATGAACATTGCAGTCAATGAACAGAGTATTAGCAAGATTAATTTCCATGAGAAATGGATGCTAGACAGGTAAAACTGAGATGTCTACTGAGTGTTCAATTAGTCTCTGCTGATTGATCAACTTAACATCCCTGTAGATCAGAATCAGGTTTGTGTGGATTCTGTATATTTTTTCACCTTCATCCCAAACACTTTGCAGCTAGGCAATGTAATAATATCTTTGGATAAAAGTGTAGATAATCTTTTATCATTGAATTTTGTTTAGTGTTGCATATGCCCTCCTTAGCTAGTTAAGTTTGTTTATTTGTGTGTGGGAAAAGAGCAAATCAAGCATAAATACTTTAGTGTGTTCTTTAGAAATCAATGTTCTGAAATCTCTGAGATAATTAATATTTATTTTATTCAAAAATGTTTATTGAGTACTGCCTTAATTTTATTTTTAATCTTTACTTTTTAGAACTGGAAAATAAGCAGAAATCTACAGCTGGTACCACTTCGAATATTAATTTGTTCTTACAAATGTTTTAATCAACGTGACCCTAATCTCTTTGGAATTGCTCAAGTGTAGAGCAGGTAAGAAGCTCATTTAGAGCCTCACATGACTTGCCCCATCATCTCTGCACAGTCAGATTATGCCCTACTTAGGATACCATGCTCTTCTCTTTGTCAATACCTTGAGTAAAGGAAGAAAAATAATTGTGAAGGTCCCAATTTAAGCATTACAGTCTACCTTTAGATTGTTTAGACTCTAAGTGTGCTGTTTCTTCTTTGACTTAAAAACAAAATAAAAAATGGAAAAATAAAGATCAATGTGGAAAATGAGTATTATTTTCTTCTGTCATTTTATGAATACCACCCTCCATTTCTAAATAGTATTAAGGACTTTGATGGGGACAAGTGTTTATTTTATGCATGTTTTGCAAATGAAAAAAAATCACTTTTTAGTGCTAGATAGTTCAACTATATTTGTATGATTTCGTTTGAGTTCTTATTTTCTAAGTGGCACTAACATCTTTTTTTTCTTTCTTTTATTAAGGTAACAGTTTATAACATTAAGTTTCATGTATACAACATTATATTTCAGCTTCTGTATACACTGCTGTGTGCTCACCACCAAAAGTTTAGTTTCCATCCATTGCCATACGGTTAACCCTCTTTACCCATTTCACCCTCTTCCACCCCACTTCCCTTCTGGTAGTCACTAATATGTTCTCTGTATCTGTGTGTTTGTTTTGCTTGTTTTATTTTATTATTGCTTGTTTTATATTCCACATGTGAGTGAAATCATATGGTGTTTGTCTTTCTCTGACTTATTTCACTTTGCATAATATGCTCAAGGTCTATCATTGTTGTAGCAAATGGAAAGATTGCATCTTATATTTTATGACTGAGTAGTATATATATATATATATATATATGCTATATATATATACTATATATAGTATATATATATATATGCTATATATATATTGCTATATATATATATACTATATATAGTAGTATATATATATATATGCTATATATATATATATATATATATGCTATTGTAAATAATTCTGCAGTGAGCATAGGGGGCATATATCTTTTCAAACCAGTGTTTTTATATTCTTCAGATGAATACCCAGAAGTAGAAGAGCTGGATCATGTAATAGTTCTATTTGTAATTAAAAAAAAAATATTATTGGGGTATAATTGATTTACAATGTTCTGTTAGTTTCAGGTATACAGAAAAGTGAATCTGTTATACATAGACATATATCCACTCTTTTTTAGATTCTTTTCCCCATAAGCCATTACAGAGTACTGAGTAGAGTTCCCTGTGCTATACAGCAGGTCCTTATTAGTTATCTACTGTATATATATGCCATTTGCAGCAACATGTATGGACCTAGAGATTCTCATACTGAGTGAAGTAAGTCAGACAGCGAAAGACAAATATCATATGATATCACTTATATGTGGAATCTCAAAAAAGGCTACAAATGAACTTATCTACAAAACCAAAGTAGAGTTACAGATGTAGAAAATAAACTTATGGTTACTGGGGAGTAAGAGGCATGGGAAGGGATAAATTGGAAGACAGGGTGTGACACATACATATTTTTAATTTTTTGAGAAACCTCCATAGTGTTTTCCATAGCAGCTGCACCAATTTACATTCCCACCAATGGTGCATGGGGGTTCCCTTTTGTCCACACCCTTGCCAACACTTGTTTCTTGCCTTTCTGATAATATCCATTCTAATGGGTGGGAGGTGGTATCTCATTGTGGTTTTGATTTTCATTTCCCTAATAATTAGTGACGTTGAACATCTTTTCATGTGCCTGTTGGTCATCTGTATGTCTTCTTTGGACAAATGTCTATTCAGATCCTCTGTCCATTTTTAAATCAGGCTTTTTGTTGTTTTATGAGTTCTTTATATATTTTGGATATTAACGCCTTATTTGATATATGATTTGCAAATATCTTCTCCCATTTGGAGGTTGTCTTTTCATTGTGTTGATGGTTTCCTTTGCTGTGCAAAAGTTTTGAGTGTGATGTAGTCCTTTTTATTTTTGCTTTTTTTTCCTTTGCCTGAAGAGACATATCCAGAAAGATGTTGCTAAGACCAGTGTCAAAGAGTGTGCTGCCTATGTTTTCTTCTAGGAGTTTTATGGTTTCAGGTTTTACATTCAAGCCTTGATGTTTATTTTTGTGTATGATGTAAGATAGTGGTCTAGTTTCATTTTTTGTATATGGCTGTCCAATTTTCCCAACACCATTTATTGAAAAACTATCCTTTCTCCATTGTATGTTCTTTGCTCCCTTGTTGTAAATTAACTGTCCATTTATGTGTGAGTTTATTTCTGAACTCTCAATTCTGTTCCACTGATCTGTGCATACGTTTTTCTGTCAATACCATGATGTTTTAATTATTTTTGCTTTGCAGTGTAATATGAAATCAGGAGTGTCATACCACCATCTTCTTTTTCCTAAAGGACACTAACATCTTATTGACTAAGATAAAACCTTCATTCCACTTAAAAATGAGTAGAAGCTGAAAACCCAGGCTTGGTTACTCCTAACATCACTTTGTTCTTGCTTTTAAAGCTTAAAATTTTTTTTCCACAAGAGAAACTGACAGAAACCAGGGAAGTAGTGCTGGGGTGAGAATTTGACTCCTTTTCTCTGAAGGACAACAGGAAAGTAGGGGAAAAATTATTATGAAAATATATATACAGTTTGCATAGAACAGTAGTTTTTGGAAGTGTGGTTCTGTCCAGCAGCCTCCACATCACTTGAGAACTTGTTAGAAGTGCAGATTATCTGTCCCCACCCCAGACCACTGAATCAGAAACTGGGGGAGTATGGCCCAACAGTCTGTGGTTGAACAGCTCCTCCAGGTGATTTTGATGCACACTCTTATTTGAGAACCCCAGGGACAGATTAAGATAAGTTTGCTGTGGGTTCAGAAAAGCAAAAAATTTAATTATAATTTATATTTAAACCCCACTAGAAATATGTTTCTTCATGTAACTATTTGGTGGTTCTTCTTGTGGAAAGCTGAGTGATTTCTCATTCTTACATATATTTTATTACCATGTTACCTTCCTAACTAGGCCCTTTATTAGTTCACTTCAGGACATACTCCTTCATGCATCAGGGTGGCCTCTGGCATACCTGGGAAGCTAAATCAATGGAGCACAGCTGAGAGGCTATCAATTCCAAAGAAAGCAAGGGTCAGTCCCCACTGAGACAGAGTCGGGACCTCGAGGTAAATTTCTAAAGGCTCCATTAACCAAGAATGCATTTTAAACAAAAATAAAAAACAAGGTACAAATGAAAGTCATAGGCGCTCACTTAAAAATGAGTTACAGGAATAAACTGTATGTTTATTGAGGGAAAACTACTGAGAAAATTGATTTTGATTAGGGAAATATTTTTATACAACCTTTGTTGTTGAAAAGAGTGTTTTGTTTACCATTTTAATCTCATGACTTCAGCTGCAATTTATGTTCTGTCTTGGTTCTGGGGAGAAAACTGTATTCATTTATCTATGTACTCATTTATTCAACAAATATTTCAGGTACTCTTGAAGCTCAGGGGAGATGAAGAGACTCTTGACTCTCTGCCTCCACATTTTCACCCCATCCTCTTCATATCTCAAGGCACTGAGACTTAGTTTCTGCCCTATTCCAAAACTGGTCTTTCAGAAGTCATCAGTGACTTCCTACCAATCCAGCTGCTCCTTATCTGGCTGTTCTTCTCTGTAGGTTTGGGCTCGATTGACCATCTTCTGCCTCTTGGAACTGTATGCCTTAGGATCGTTCTTTATTTCTCTGATGCCCTCTTCCCCATACCTTTAACTGAATTCTCTTCTATACCTTCATTCAAAAACAAGGGTTCTATGAGATTTCTCTACTTAGTCCCATTTTATTCTCTCTTAGCACTTTTTCTTTACCTGAAGGAACTCACCTACTCTTATCAGTTTCATTTAGCTTCATTTATCACACCTAGGTGGGTAGCTGCTAAATCTCTTTCTTCATTTTTAACCCATGTTTCCAAGCTCTTCAATTTCAACATATCTAAAATAGAGTTGATTCTCTTCTTCACAAATTATTTATTCATGTATTAGGCAAATATTTATTGAGGGGTTACTGTCTACCAGGCACTGTTTTCTGTTCTAAAGATATAGCAATGAACAAAGCTGACAGGGTCTCTGATTTCAGAAAGCTTATGTTCTGATGGGGTGGGGGAGGCAAACCATAAAACCAGGAAAATAATGTGGTGATATGTACTTTGAAGAGAAGTAAAATAAGATTCGAGAGATAGAGAAATTATGAGAATACTTTTTATACAGGGTAGTCTGTGTCTGATAAAGTAATATTCGATAAATAATCTGAAACAAGTGAGGGAATGAGTCCTGTGGGTATAATGAATAGGAATCAATTGAGTGTTTGAAAGGCATAAAGTTCAGGATGATGCTGGAAAGCATCAAATAACTGAATGTGTGCTAAAGAGAAAGCATGACTCTGAGGTCAAGAGATTTAGTGTTGCTGGATGCATGGTCATGCATCAAGTGTCACCATGAGAACTAGACTGGGGAGGATGCATCTGCTTCTGCCCTGTGGGACGACCCTGTGTTCTGAATCATTATTTAATTAAATAAGAAATTAATCTTACTCCGCATAAATGTGGGTGTCTGTATGCATGTGAGTTTGTGGTCTCTTCTTGCCAATCTATAATCCTTCCGAAATGTTGGAATCTGAAACACTGCAAAATATTTTTATTTTCTAACAATTACAGCCAACCTTTGTTTATTCAAGTGAAGTTGAAGCAATTGGAGCATTAACTTTTTGTGAATTTTTTGGATTTAATATTTTTCATTTTTTCTCTTCTGTGGGTACTCTCTGGAATTTTTTTGGTTCACTCACATTTGCCTCATAAAGACACAGGAGAGCTCTTGGAGGAAGACGCGGTCGCTGCTGCAGCGGAGCCTCAGGCCACCCACTCATGCCCCTGACTCACCGCTGTTCGCCCTTGCTGAGGAACAAGTTGGTCAGGAAGCCATGCCGCAGCCATGGCTTT